CTCGAGGAAAAGACAACAAAATCATAACAAAAGTCGGGTAACACCAATCAGAGAAGAGACAAAACCGGTTTTTGCTGGACGGATCGCATACACAAAAAGTTATTTGCATGTGTTGGGCTTTCGGTATGCACAGCACAAACTGTGTATGCATACAAAAATTGGGCTCGGAGGGCAATGGGCCTGGGCATCGCTGGTTTAGAGTGTTTATACAGTACAGATAAAATACATCTTTTTAGACCGATTTGGTTAATTTTCGGTCTAAAAAACTAAATAAATAGTTAAAGTTTAATAGAGCCTGTTTGTTTAAAAAGTCGGAAAATTCTGTGTTGCAATCCAATTAGGCTACGGAACAGTGCGAATCAATCAACTGATGAAGAACGACAATTGCGCCGCAATGGTGCGGCACGACATAGGGCCATTGTTCGTACTTCTCAAACACAAGAGCAAAGAGAGGCAGTCCGGGAAATGGCTAGATTAGAAAGGAGAAATCGTAGAGCTAATCGCACAGATCAACAACGAGAAAGTATTCGAACTGCAAAAAAAAATACTTCAATTGTTAATTTAAATCGAGCAGCGTTTCTATCCGATTCCATAATTGACTAAAGCTCGCATCCTTTCGTTTGCATTTGTCCAATGGAAGTAGTTTGACTGCATTGTGGTGCATTGAAGTTTGCTGGAGAAACGCCTGGATTGAGCTGCCTTAATGGCAGAGTGAAATTGCGATTATTATGGGGCGAAAAACCAGAATCACGACATTTTCTAGGGAACACTCAAAATTACAATGGCTATTTTCAAATGACTTCATATGGAGCGGTATTCCCGATAGAGCACGGATTTAACCCAACATTTAAGGTAATTTATGTTGAAGAGTAAATGTTCAATTTCTACTAAGATATTGACTTGGCTCTCGACTCACAGATTCAAGGCCAGACGAAGTTCGCTAGATCCGCTAGTATATAAATATATAAAAATCAATAAGCGGATAGAATGTCTTAAAGCGAATGAGGCAAATTAATTCAGAGATACTTTCATCTGAATGCCAAAAGTGCTGCGAAAATAGGTTATGTACAATGTTTCGAAATAGGTGTTCATCTTAAAAGGCTGCCATCAATAGCAATAGTAAGTCACTTTAAAATTATCATCGGCAATTCCAATTATAACTATAAGAAAAACAAATAAAAACAACGATAAGGAACGTGTGAGTCGCTTCTGGGGACGCGACTCTACTTATACCCGTACTCAGTCAGTATATACATTTTTGAGCTTATGATTTTTTTGAATTTTAGAATTAAAAAAAAAATTTTTAATTTTACATTTTTTTTTGCTACATCTGTTATCTACATCTACATTGTATATTATACATCTAACATGTAGATTGTACATCTACCATTTAGATTCTACATCTCCTCCGCTAGAGGTTGCTCACGCACTACACGCGGCAGAGTGTGCGAGCGAGAAAGAGAATGAACAGCGTGTCTCTGGCTGGGGAGGCGGGGAAAGCAACTGAAAAAGAATTTCTTCATTCTGGCTATAATTATGATCCGATCTGATTCAGATTCGGCAATCTGGTAGATATGGTCATTCTCTACGATACTAATCCACAGATTTTCGTTCTTTGTGTGTGCGGAAGGGGACGGGGCGAAATTTTGAAATTCACTTGTAGCAGTGTGATATGACATGAGTCTGGAAACAAAATTTGGTTGACCTAGCTCTTATGGTCTGAGATCTAGGCGCTCAAAAAGACGGACAGACAGACATGGCTCTATCGACTCGGCTATTGATGCTGATCAAGAATATACCTCAGAGAAAGAAGTATATCTTTTCAAAATAGCAAAGTTCTTTACAACCAGACGTAAGATACTACAGTTATATGAAAAAAACAAGCGCTACCTCTGAAAAAAGCTTTAAAAAAAATACCATTTTTCTAAAATACTTCAAAAAAAAATATCAACAAACCATTTCTAAGCCCCAAATCTTTAAGAAAAAGTTCGTTTTGTTCCTTGAGGAAAAATCGTGTTGACTATTGTAATAATAGAAAATATGGCTAAAGCAAAAAAAAAAATACCAAAAAAGTGAATTTGTGCTTATTTGAATAGGTATTCACATCAAAGTTATTAAAATGATATGTCAATTGGGTAAATTAGTTGTCGTTCATTAAATTTAGACTATAATATCGCAACATAATTATATGGAAATGTGCTTTTATAGACATTACATTTTTTGGTCTCGGTGGACCTCGTCAGAGAAATGCCCATATATAGTAAAGGTATATAGGTATATATTAACAAAAAAATAACAATATTATTTTCATAAACTTTAAGAATAACTAAATATTAAATGAATAACTTTCCATTCATATGAAATAAGTGTTAAGCTACTGAGCTTCTTCAGTTGCATTGTATTGCGATATTATTAAAAAGGCGATGATTGTTCAATATATATATTCACAGTTTATTGTGGTGAAGTAAATAAGCGATACAGAGTCGAAAGGATAGTTAGCTGGATTCAAGACGGGGTCAGATTGAAGACGCGGGGGTCGGTTCAAGACGGTGTCGGATTGAATAGCTCGATTCCAAGACGATGCGCAGTGATTCAAGATCAAGACTAATTCAAAGGGCAGGCGGGCCGAATTGCCCGTGCCCTAATGCGAGCGAGAGAGCGACAGATCGAGAGAGTGATAGCGAAAGGCGATAGAAAGAAAGGTGTGAGTTAAAGACGCGAGAGAACGGCGGCATAGGCTGCTGCCGTGCGGGAGCATGAATATGTACATATGTATGTAGATGACAAAGTTAAGCAGTGGGCAGTAGATATGCTGAACAATAATAGATATTTACTCTACTGCCGCACCACTGACTATGATCTACTGATTATTTGGCTGCGTAACCAAACAATAAGTATATGTACATTCTAAATGAAAATTAAAAATACTAATGAAATTATTTTTTAAAATTTGTACTTTTGCTTATTAATAGTTTATATGCTTTCCTTTTTTAGTGAAAATTTGATTTATCCGGGTGGGCATTGAGGTTGCCAAGTTTTTAAGAATTGTAGGGTTAATTTGATCCCATTCCTGGAGCAATGCTTTTTTGCGGTCATTTACCGTATCAAACTGGCGTCCATTCTTATAAATTTTGTTGGATAATATTCCCCAAAGATCCTCCATTGGGTTAAGGTCCGGACTGATCGCTGGCCATTGCAATAAGGGAATCTTCCTAGCTTGCAAAAAGTTTTTTGTTTTCCGTGCCGTGTGGATGGGCGCGTTGTCCTGCTGGAAGATCCACTCATCCCGTTAAGGTTTCCAGTAAATTCAATGAGTTCCAACAACTCTACATACATTTCTGCATTTGTTCTGGTGGGTATAAAACAAAATGGGGACTTCCCAGCACCAAAATCCACCCCAAACCATTAATGATCCTCCACCGTGGTTTCGTTTATGGCAGTGCTGCCGTGGTTGCCTTTTGTCACGCCAATACTTTTGGCAGGAGTCAGGACCGTCCAAGTTAAATTTTTTTTCATCCGAAAATATAACTTAAGTGAACTCCTCTGACCAAAATTTGTACTTCTCAGCAAATTCTTGTCGAGCGGTTATGTGGCGCTTCAATAACCTCGGTACAGCGTCGTGGGAAGCATATGTAACCATTTCGATTTCGTTTAAAATTTGATTTATACGTCTTTTGGATATGTCAAGCTTCAGTTGACCTTTGATCTCCATGCAAGACTTGTTGTTTTGAACGGCTAGACGACGAATTTGCCTCTTGCACCGCGTATCGATTTCAGTGGGTCTGCCGCTTCGCTTTATTTTTAAATACATTTCACAATTTTTTAGAAAGTTTGCTATTGTGTTTCTATGCCGATTTAGTCTGGCGGCAATATAAGAAATGTTCTTGCGAGATTCGGCCAGCCCTTTGATCAGACCGCGATCTTCCTCCGACAAATGTGTTCCACGTGGCATTCTGCCGTAAAATTAAAATTATAACAAACATTTATGTCTCCAAACGTATAAAAACAAGTTTACTTACATTCTGCTGATTAAATAACTTTTTTGGATCACACTTCTTAGCTTACCTGCACGCGATAGCACAATAATCTAAGCTTGCACATATACTTATTGCCCTTGAAAACCACGAGTTGTTACACATATTATTTAAAACGGTACAAAGAATGAAGCGCAAAGAGGAACATTGGAGTGGGAGATCTTTATAATGGATAAGAGTACAAACTTGCATACCTACAAAAAATATACCGTTACGTTTATACAAAATATAAGCAAATTAATAAGTGCACATATACTTCTTTCACTGAGGTATATACTTTATGGGGTCGGAAACATTTCCTTCTCTGCGTTACACACATCCACTTTTACCACAAATCTAATATACCCATTAACTCTTTTTTGAGTACGGGTATAATAAAAAGTCATGCCTCTCCGGACCTTTTACAGAATTTACAGGCATGACAACATTATTAAATTTAAAAAATTAGTTCACACGTTCACTTACATATGTATATGTAATGAAAACCCGATTATCAAATTTAAGTGAAGTAAATACATAACAAAGATTATACTTCTCACAAAATTTAATTTTAAATTTACGCTTCGTTTTCAATTTAGATAGCTTAAGTTCCATACATCTGGTGTTAATGTTGTATGCCTTTCTGTTAAGCTAATAAAATCAGCCATACATTAGATTTAAACACTTTATTGTTTTCGCTTACAGTCTGGGAAAGCTTTAAAATGCAAAATTGATACATTCATTGAAGTATTTTTTTTTCTTTCAAAATGTATATTTTAATAAAAACTCCGCAAATGTTTTTGTGTGTTTTTGTATTTTTTGCGTATAGGTGCATCGTTTAAGATATCGCTCATAAAAATCTATGCATAAACGGTTGAGCTAAAACTGTATGACTTTAATCCAATCTTAAAAGTAACCATTTAAAATTATTCAATAATACACTCAACTATTAATACGGATTACCTTATAGTTTTGTATTATTATTACCTGTAGAGAAGAATTATCGTCCATTTCAAGCCATTTCTTAGAACCTTGAAAATTAAGAAGGAGTCCGGTATCCGAAATCAAAAAAAGCAGACGGTAGTTTGGAGCCATATTGGTCGTAGAATGCAGCTTACTAAACATTTCTATGAGTGCCAATAAGACTGTTATATCCGTATTCACCGGGTAGTCCTGAAAATAAAACAAGCTCTTTAAATGAACTAACAAAATATTATATTATTTATTAACAGGGAAGAGCGTTTTATTGCTATATATGATTTTTATTTATGATTTTTATATGATTTATTTATTCAAAATGAAACGTTATTTTATAGCCGGTACTAAAAAGGTGTATCATATTAAATTCGTCATGGGTATTACCAGAAGGAAGCGATTCCGACTCGATAGAGTAAATAAGTTATTGAACATATATTCTATAAGAACTACAGAAACAGGTAGACTCCTGAATGACAAACTAAATTAAGCTATATTTTTTCAATGGCTCCTTCATTTTGAAGTTACAAAAAACGGTAATTATAAATAAATTTCTTATGTACTTATGATTACAGAATCTGATTTCGATCGGACCATTACACTATACTCAACACCATTGGAACTTAAACGAGAAGAACGTGTGAGTCGCGACTCTACTTTTATACCCGTACGCAGACAGTATAAAAATATGTGAGCTTATGATTTATATAGAACTAGCAGACCCGCCAGTTCTTCAAGCCATCGCCTTATGGTCACGCCACTATACTCCGTGAGGAGGAAGGTGGAACGGCCGGGGGGAGTGACTACTGTGTTTCAGAGTTCTCATGGAAAAGAAACTTTAATGGACAAACCAGACAGGGAGAAATGGAAGATTAACAAGGCCCTGGGGCAGAACGAGCTCTCCATTTTCACAGACGGGTCATAAACGGCCGAAGGGACAGGAGCTGGAATCTTCTCTGATGAACTAGCAACCAACATATCCCTAAGACTACCAGACTGGTGCAGTGTATTCCAGGCGGAGATATATGCAGTATGGCAAGCGGCTAAGTTGGTATACACCTTGGAGATACCTCCGAGGAACATAGCAATCTGCGTCGACAGTCAGTCTGCCATCCAAGCCTTGGTATCCTGACGCACTTAACCAGATCAGCGCGCACTCAATCACACTCACGTGGGTTCCGGATCATACCGACATAGCGGGCAAAGAGAGTGCGGACGAGTGTGCCAGAACTGGATCGGCCAAGCCAAAGGCGGACGCAGTCAGCGACATACGGAGGCCACAATTAGACATCATCTCGCAGATGATGGGCAGAGCAAGAACGAGATCGGACAGGAGGTGGAACACCACACCCAACTGTGAGATCTCTCGCTCGCTTTGGCCCCGAATACTCGGCGGCGCCTTCTACGAAGACCTGGACAGCCTGGCAAACATGCCTCTAGAGAAACTGGTGGTGGGCAGACTTGCCTCCGAGTGACCTCGACTTCGGTCGACCAGCACTATAAACCGAACCTAACCTAGCAGACCAGCGCGCTTCGCTGCTTACTAAATGCATTTAATGTTTAGTAATGCATCGAAATTAACCAATGATAATCAAAAGCAACAAATATATTTACACAAATTGCAATTTTTTTTAAGAAAACTGTTTTTCATACAAAAAGGTATACAAAACGAGAAGGAACGTGTCAGTCGCTTCTGGGGACGCAACTCAACTTATACCCGTTCTCAATCAGTATATACATTTTTTAGAAATTTGAAATTTCGAAATACACTTGTAGCAGTGTGATATCACAGCAGTCTGGATAAAAAATTTGGTTGCTCTATTGCTTGGCTACTGATGCTGATCAAGAATATATATACTTAATTGGGTCGGAAACGTTTTCTTCTCTGCGTTACACACATCCACTTTTAACACAAATACAATATACCCCTTAACTCTTTTTGAGTACAGGTATAAACACAACGTTAACACGAAAATTGCACCATCTTTCACAGGATTTTTGATTTGTGGTGATAGAATCGATATGCATGAAGATATAGCGAATCAAAGTTTAAATTTTTTAACATTTTTACAGTTTCTGCAACTTTAGCCTTTTAAAAGAAAAATTTTTCGTAGAGTATGGTTTTATTTTCAGACATGAACTTTTTAGCGGCCTCTATTCTTAACAAAATAATCTACTAATAAATAAAATTGTTCAAAGAATGCCAGCAGTACGATGTTTTTAGTAAATAATGTAATGTTTGTTTACTTGGTATGTAATTCCAATTTTGCTGCATGTAAAGCTCAATAATGTCAAAACAAGCATTGCATGGTGGGCCAGAAACGGTGGAACGGTAAAATGTGATTTTCGGAGGTTTGGTCAAACTTTTCCTGAGTTTTTAAAGTCAAAATTTCGTAAAAAATACCGCACAAAAATCATAATTTTGCATTTCAATGCTTTATATTTTAACGAACCATGGATCCCATGGATACTCCAAGGAGAATATATCAACACCAACAAATCCGAAGACGCAGCACAGATCGAAAGACAGAAAGACATCGACCGAACAAAGAAAGAAAACCGAGAACTCAGCCCACGCGCGGCCAATCGACGGAAAGGCGCTGGCCAATATTATATAACCAACCTTCCATATAACCAATAGCAAAACCAAGTAACCAAAGCTCCCAAATGACGAGGTCAACACCCAACGAAATGAAAACTCAGCACACGCAGCAGACAGGAAACCCGAAGACTCAGCACACGTGCCATCAAATCATACATAGCAGCACTGGCAATATTAAGAATAGGAAAACACTATATATATCGAATTTCTCCCTGTACTAAGGCAGTTCGTTTGCAGTTCGCTAGTAGTTAGTTGGCAGTTAGCTAGCAGTTCACTTGGATTAACACGCTTCACACACATTAAATAAAGATACAAGTGAAAACTTCAACTTAAACCAAACGTGTTGTGATTCCAAATAACCAATTCTATTTCAGTTGCTGGCCGAGTTCCTGGTTTTCAAAATAAAGTCCAGCCTGAGATACGACCTTACAATATTTCCCAGACGGTAAGCTGCAATCACAAAGTGTTTGGGCTAGCTTCTAGCTGTTTTAATTATCTTTTTGCTTAACAAACAGACGTAAGATACTAGAGTTCTGTGAAAAAAAGAAGCGCTACCTGTGAAAAAAGCTTAAAAAAAAATACCAGTTTTCAAAAATTCTAAAAAAACAAAAGTCCTGCCATAGAAAAAAAAAATATCATTAAACAATTTCTAATCCCAAAACTTTAAGAAAAAGTTGGTTTTGTTTCTTGAGGAAAACTCGTGTCGACTTGCTTTACACTACTCGACAAAATTTATATTTTTCTTCCCGCTGTGGACCAAAATGATTTTTTTTATACCCGTACTCAAAAAAGAGTAAAGGGGTATATTAGATTTGTGGTAAAAGTGGATGTGTGTAACACAGAGAAGGAAACGTTTCCGACCCCATAAAGTATATATATTCTTGATCAACATCAATAGCCGAGTCGATAGAGCCATGTCTGTCTGTCCGTATGTCCGTCTTGTTTGACGCCTGGATCTCAGAGAATATAAGAGCTAGGGCAACCAAATTTGGTTTCCTGACTCATGTGATATCACACTGCTACAAGTGTATTTCAATATTCGCCCCGCCCCCTTCCGCCCACACAAAGGACGAAAATCTGTGGCAGGCAAAATTTTAAAGATAAGATAAAACTAAAAACAGTATCGTAGAGAATGATCATATCTACCAGATTGCCGAATCTGAATCAGATCGGATCATAATTATAGCCAGAATGAAGAAATTAATTTTCAGTTGCTTCCCCTGCCCACGCCAGACAACGACCAAGCAACTCATTTTCCTTCTCGCTCGCATACTCTGCCGCGTTCAGTGCGCGAGCAACCCCTAGCAGAGGAGATGTAGAATCTAAATGGAACATGTACATTGTACAATCTACATGTTAGATGTAGAATACACATTGTAGATGTAGATAGCAGATGTAACAAAAAAAATGTAAAATGTAAAATGTTTTTTTTTAATTCTAAAATTCTAAAAAATCATATGCTCAAAAATGTATATACTGACTGAGTACGGGTATAAGTAGAGTCGCGTCCCGAGAAGCGACTCGCACGTTCGCACGGTTGCGAGCTCAACTGCCCATTGGGAATTGGGATCGCGATCAGGTACCAAATGTACAACCCTTTTTCGTTTGCTTTGTTCCCAATTGGCTGTTGGGTCCGCAACCATCGAAAAGGTATTTTTTGTTCATTTTTTTCATTTTTTAGGTTTGGTTAACGAATTTTAGCTCCAAAGTCTCTCCATAGATTTTAATGAGCGATACCTTAAACGACTCCAAATTAGTGCACCTATACATAGAAAATAGAAGACACAGAATATAATTTTTTCGACTTTTCCTGAGTTTTTAAAGTCAAAATTTCGTAAAAAATACCGCACAAAAATTATAATTTATGCATTTCAATGCTTTATATTTTCCAGACGGTAAGCTGTAATCAAAAAGTGTTTGGGCTTAACTTCTAGCTGTTTTAATTATCTTTTTAAAATAGCAAATAGCAATAGCAAAATACAACCAGACGTAAGATACTAAAGCTATGTGTAAAAAACAAGCGCTACCTCTGAAAAAAGCTTTAAAAAAAAATACCAGTTTTCAAAAATTCTTAAAAAAAAAGTTCTGCCATAGAAAAAAGAAAAAATATCATCAAACCATTTCTTAGCCCCAAATCTTTAAGAAAAAGTTCGTTTTGTTCCTTGAGGAAAAATCGTGTTGACTAGTGTAATTGCCTTTTTGAACCCGGTCAAATTTTCAAATTGTCGCCCATTGCTATAAACTTTGCTCGAGAGTATTCCCCAAACATTCTCGATTGGGTTTAAATCAGGACTACATGCAGGCCACCCCAAAAGATCAGTTTTTCGGTACTCAAAGAACTTTTTTGTCGCTTTTGATACGTGGATTGCAGCGTTATTCTGCTGAAAAATCAATTTTCCTCCCAGTATGTTTCACTAAACGGTATTAATACGTCGATGATGATAAAAAATATACAGGGGCGTGTCCAAATGCAGCCCATACCATAAGCGAGCCACCCCCGAAATTGCGAGCATAGCAGGACTTGCGTTCACAGCGTATATCTCTCCAGTACATCATTTTTCGTCACTGAAGATAACGTTTTCCCATTTCCCACTTG